CCCGGCGCGCTGTCACCTCCTGTCACCTCCTGTCACCTCCCGTCACCTCCTGTCACCTCCTGTCACCTCCTGTCACCTCCCCTCCCAGGACAAGGAGCGACCCAGCCACTTCTAGAAGAAAGGGCGAGGGGTGCAGACCGTAATGGAGGGGGCAGAGCGGGGAGGGACCTCAACTCCTCTGCAGGGACACGGGGAGGGGTCGGCACCGCTGTGGGACCCTGAGGTGGGACAGGGGCAGGCAGGTCTGATCCCCTCCATGGGCCGTCTCTGGTGCTGGGGGTGCTCCCTCCCCCTGTGTCCCCACAGAGCTTCTCCTCACCCCACGGGTGGCAACAAAACCCACAGCGAGTCCTCAGCGGGAATGGCCATTCCGGGGAGCCACCTCCCCCAGATGTGACATCTGTGCCACTGCCATGCTGCGTGGAGACAGGCTCGTCAGGCCTAATTAGCCTGAAGTCCCCCATGAGCTGCAGCAGGGGTGTGTGGGGAGCAGGAGAGCTGGGGCAGCAGCACTGCTGAGCACAGGGGACACGAGGGGACACGAGCTGGGCACCCCCAGCCTGAGGTGCCCCGAGGAGGGGGCACAGTGCTCACAGAGCATGGCAGGGCAGTGGCCCACACGTGCACCACGGTGGTCAGGCACCACAGAGCATGGCTTGGGACCGGCTCACCGCGTCCTACACATCCCAGCGCTAACAGCATCCACCTAATTAACAGCAAAACGGGAACACGCCTGGCCAGCCACCTGCACTGCAGAGGGGACGGCCAGAGGGACAGAAGGACACCCAGGAAGGGCAGAAAAGCTTTAGCAAAACTGCAACCCTCCCAATTTCCCTAAAGATAATGCTGGGATGGCACGAGATGCCTTTTCCCACACACCAAATGGGATCTGAGGAGACAGCGCAGCAGAGGAAGGGGCTTCCACGCCAATGCTGGGAAGCAGAGCCCAGGCCCTGTGTTCCCAAACCATAGCGAGGGGCAGGAACCCATCTGCAGCATCTGTGCAGAGCTGGCACAGGGACAACAGGATGCAGGCTGCATTTGGAGCGAGCCCACGCAGCAGCCGCTAGCGAGGCTTCCCCGATAGATTGCTGAGATAAATGCTCTGCCATCGTGCCAGAGCAGCCCCCTTCCAGCTGCTGCTCCTCCGTGGAGATCACCCTGGCTGATCCTGGGAGCAGGAGCTGCTCCCCGCGGGGAGGAAGGGACAGATCCAGCCCAAGTGACAGCCCAGACACCCAAGAGTGGTCTGTGTGTGGTGCCCCCAACACGGGGACAGGAGGTGCAGGATTGTCACCCTCCCTCCTGCCCCACAGCCAGTGGAGAAGTGTGGGAGTGCAGGGAATCAGAAGCCGTGGGATGCTCGGAGCCAGGGCTGGCCCTCACCTGTAGATGATGCAGGCACAGTCCCGGCAGGTCCCGCAGTTGGCGATGTCCTGCCCGGTCCGGTACGAGTGTCGCCTGTGACAGAGATGTGCTGTGAGCTTGGAGACTCAGTCTGGCTCTGTCTGTGTCCTCTGCTGCCCCTGGTCCCTCGTGTGCTCCCAGCCCAGCAGCCAGGACTCTCCTCTCTGGATCCCAGCTCCTTTTTAACTTGGGATTCACACCCTCTTCTCCCTGTATCTCAGCCCTTTTCCTGAATTCCAGCTCCTCTTCCTCTCTGGGACCCATCTCCTCTCCTCCCTGGCTCCCACCCCCTTTTTTCTCTGGGATCCCAGCCCCTCTCCTCCCATTTGATCCCAATTAACACCAATCTCGGCTTCTCAGATTTCTCTGATGGCAGCAAACCGGTGCTGGGCACAGTGGCACCTCCAAACCCTTCCCGCTGTGTCCTCCCCTCCCCATCCCAATCCTCATCCCTCATCCCTGTGCAGCCCCCAGGTCACCACACCTCTCCCCACACACCGTGGAGGGAGCCCTGGCAGATGGGCACAGGGAGATGCTCCAGACTAATCTCCAGCCTACGCCAGACTCGGAATTTATCTTTTTGATGCTTTTGTACCAAAGCATCCTTCTCCTCCTCCGGGAAGGTGCACAGGACTTGGATTAAGTGGATTCCTGCCCAGGCTCAGCTCATGCTGCTGCATCCTCTTCTCTCTCCACAGAAGGGGTCTTCACCCCACATTTCTCTGAAACTGGTGTCAGACCCCAACCCTGAGACACTCTGATCCCAAGGGCTGTGCTGGGGTCCTCCTGCACCCTGCTGGTGCTCCCTGCTGGTCCCTGCTCATTCTGCTCTGTCCAAAAGGAGCCCTGTGAATGCTGTTGGTCCCTTTGGGACTCCTTCTCCATATCTCCATTGCCCCTTCAGGGCTGTGGATTTTGGGGGCACAGCTGAAAGGGCACGTCCCACATACACATCAGATTTCCTCGTTGAAATCTTCCTCCTGTTACTCGACCTTGACCATGATTGCTCTCAGCCCTCAGAAACTGGGTCTGTTAATGCACCAAATTACACATTGCAACGGGGATTTATTCTGCCAGCACCTGAATTAGATCGTGAGGCCCTTTATATATATATAATATGAATATATATGTGGTACGTATATGAGTGTGTGCCTGCGGCTCTGGCATTGTACAACAGCCCCCCTCTGCAGGGAGAGCTCATTCTGGGATGGTCTTTCATGTTTTATATAAATAATTTTTTGTGGGATGTTTGTGGGATGTTTGTGGGTCGGTGCCAGGATGTTTCAGGGCTGGTGGCCCTGCTCTGGTGCGCAGTGGGCACCTGGGATCTGACTTGTGGCAAACGAGGCCGTGCTGTTCTGCAGCATAAGGACACCAGGATAATGTTTTATGCCATTTCCTATCCCTGGATTTCCTATCTCTGGGCATCTCGTCTGCTTCTTTGACTGGAAAATGGAGTTGAGGTCTTAATTAAGGTGTCCTGGACCCCTGAGGGGTCCCTCCCTGCTGACAGTGCTCCAGGGAGCTCTGTGCTTCACTCACAGCCAAACCCATCTGATTTAACAGATGGATCACAGCAATCTTGGGCATCAGGAGCAAGCCACAGAGATTTTACAGGAGGATGCCAGGACCGGCACCTCTTGGGGGTTTGTTGGTTGCCCTCGTGTGAGATGAGTTTGGAGCGTTTCAGCTTAAGGCCGTTTTGAGAACACCTTGCACCATTTGGCAAATCTCTCTGGGAGGCCAAGGACAGCCTGCCCCTCGGAACAGGTCCTGGGCAGGGCAGGATGGGGGTGCTGGGCACCTCCCCGGGGTGCAGCCACACCCATCGTGGTGGCACCAGCCACTGGATTTGTGCCACAGGTCCTTCCAGGGATGTGGTGCCTGGCTAAACCTGCCATTGGGATGTGACATTCCAGATCCCTACTCCCAGAGGCCAATGGACAAATCAGCTGTACCAGAGCCAGGCAGGGGCCCAGCACCCCCTCATCCCCCAGACCTGCACCCCTGCACCCATCCCTGGGCACAGGGAAGGCACCGTGGGCCTGTGAAACCTCGCAGCAGGACATGGAGCCACGTGCGCACGGACAGCAGCTCTGAGTTTCTCAGAAACACCTTCAGGAGGCAGCAGCATCCAAATCTCTGTCAGGGTCCCCCATCCTACATCCCCAGCCCCCGGGGACATTGTCCCCACAGCCCCCCCACTCTGTCCCCTCCTACTCACCCATCCCGCTGCGCCTCCTTCTTCTCCAGGTCCTGGATGACGTCCAGCAGCACCCGGATGGTTTGTTGGCTGGTCTCCAGCACCCCTTCCAGGGACTGCAGCTGGGAATGCAGGTCCCCCTGCTCCCCGGGCCCCCCTGGGCCCTCTCCCTGAGATGTCCGGGCGTCCTCGGCCCTCGCTGGTGGTCCCACCGGCCCCTTGGCCACCACCACCAGCTGCAGAAGGTCCTGGACGTGGTGCAGCGTGTCCGGCTGCTCCGCGGCGAGGCAGGGCTGTCCGT